AGACGCGGCCTTTCCTCATTTCCTTATTTACATGCATCATTTACGATAGCGAAACTGTACCCTTATTGTTTCACTAGCTAAAGTATTATTTTCTATGCTTTAAAGCTTGGAATTTTTAAAAATATTTATTAGAGTAACTTATGGCAAAATTGCTCTTGTTCCTTACTGTGCCGTCTGATCTGGTATTTGTTTATCTCCTATGAGCTGTTGCTTCTAACTTTCCCAATCCATGGGTATGTTTGTTGCTGGAATAACTCGGATTTTATCTGCTTTAATAGGTAGTGGAAAAGGCAGCTTTCGATGTAGATGAGCTGGCAGCAGCCCTAGATCTCATTAGTCAATTCGAGTCCGCTCTGAAAAGAGGTGATACCGGATCGAGCCCCGAGGCATGTTCCTCCTGGCTCACACGAATTCGGCGGGAGTGCGCTGATCTCTTTGAACTGCCTGCTCTCCTTGCTGCCGTGGCGCGGCCTCTTTTGGACAGCATGCTGATCAGTTGGAAACCTCTCGTTGTGAGTTTTCAGATGTGTTTTTGCCTCTTCTAAACTTAAAAATCTATATAAGCCTACTAGATATGGCTTGTATTATTGTCGTTGAGTCTATTTGAAGCACGCAGCGGTGAGATGCGTGGTCTTCAATGGTATTTAAATACATTTTTCTGACCATTGCCTAAAATTCATCTTGTTTCACAAGTGTTAAGTGTAGTACTAAGGTTTCAACTCTGGTCTTAGACACACCAACATAGTTATTTGATGTTCAGGTGTTTTTGCATTCAAATGCGCTTTTACTATAACTATCCAACCAATTATCATTAAATTTGGGCTGTTGGATTAGCAAAATGCAGCTCTATTTTCAAGGCTGCGAAGTTTATGAAGTTTCAGCAAGAAATCATGCTTTTCTCTTCCCTTAACTCCGACCACCTAGCCATAATGATTCAATATTAATGTAGGCAAAGTCGTTGCATTTTCATTACACAATCCTTGGACCAGATCCGAGGTCCCCTTGATCTCACAATCCCATATTTACTGTATGAATATCTGTATGTGAGTCAGCAAACTGTGATCGAACAACCAGAACCGGAGGTAACTCTCGCGAATCCTATGCTTCCTCTCTTTTCGCAGTCGGAACCTGTTGATACTTTTCACCTCATACTGCTTTGTTGCCCCAGCAACTCGAAGCGTCACCTAGTTCAGATTCCTTAGCGTCTAACGCCTCGGTTTTCCCCCATTATGAGTTTGTATGTGTATTTTCTTTGTGTCTACTAGGAACGGGAGTTATAATAGAAATTGACCTCTAAACTAAACCCTGCTTATACAAGTTTCTGATCAGGCGTTCCTTCAACAATGGCAATTTGAAGCTGTTAATTGAGATGTGGGTAACATATCGGTGATAGGGTAGATTATACACAGTTCGAATGTTTTATTGTTTGGAGAAATTTACGATTCAATCTGAAGTTATTTTACGTACACTTGTGTTTGTTATATGATCGTGTACATGTGTATGCGAACCCGATGTAACTTCAACTGTGATCACTGGCCTTGATGTGCCTTTTCTCTACTCATTTTCACCCAGGCTTCTCCATTGTGAATAGCCCGTTTTGCTGCCAGAGCCCGAACAGTTGCCTAGTCCTTGGATTTTGATTTTAACACTTGTTACGTCCTTCTCATCCAAACTTCAAATATGTGTCTCCCTTTCCTTCTCTCCACCAGAATCCAAGCTATGGCGTCTCTGCGTTGATGGAGTGGCGCAGCGCCTTGGACGATGCGGGCGCCTTTGAGATCCTCTTGCGGACGAGTTGGTTACCGTCGGCGCGACGCTGCGTCACCATGGAGTGGGACCCGCATGACTGCGAACGCCTACTCGCTGTCTTCGAGGCCTGGCAATCCCTCCTGCCCGAGGACCTTCTTCAACACGACCTCCTTGATGGACTAGTGCTGCCCCGTCTTCGGGTACGCCTCACACATCCCGTGTGAAGTTTGCGACGGCTTATGGTCTAATTGTCAATTGATCACTGGCTGTGATAACGTTAAGCTTCCTTCTCTTTCTAACCTTCAGACGGCAGTGGAGGCGTGGAACCCACTGACAGACACGGTGCCCATCCACACGTGGCTGCACCCCTGGCTGCCATGGTTCGGTGGGGCCTCTCGCCTCGCCACTGTGCATGAGGTGGTGTTGCACAAACTAGCCCTTTGCCTCACCAACTGGCATCCCTCTGACGCCTCCGCCAGCTCAGTTCTCCTGCCCTGGCGAAATGTCATCCCTATGACCCAAATGACCATCTTCTTAAGTCGCAATGTCGTGCCCAAGTTGGCTCTGGTCATGCAAACCTTCCAGGCAGGTTTTCTCCCTTTTTTCCCCTCTCTACTAGTTGTCCCTCAATTGTTTGCTCTCCAGAACCCATTTAGCTGTGTTTGCTTGGTTACTTGATCCCTTTGTCCGTGTTCCTTGTGCATTTAGCGCGTGTAAGCATAAACCTACTCAACAGTATGAGATCTTATCTATTTCTTTATCTTTATACAGACTCCCCAGACAAATCCGCCTTTTTCCACCTTCTTACTGGTGCGTTGCTACCTCTAAGATATTATGAATAGGGATATCAATTGATGGTAGTGCTGGAAGGGTAACGGTGGTTTGTTCGTACCAACACCAGATTTTTGAGCTGTTTCACTTCGTGGATACTTGATTATTCAACTCCTTTGTTGGTGGTGTTTAATGTGTATTAAGTCGTTATTTGTTGCATCCTAGTGTAATCCTAGGAGGTGTTCTGTGCCATGCACGTGGCAGCAGTTCTATTCTACTGCACACTGACCGTTTGAGGTTATTTGCATAAGTGGTATGAAGATTACCAAGCGGGTTCTTTTTTCTCCTTGCCTAGCCTATACCATGGGCTCTTTAACTCACCCTCCACTGAATGCTGAGATGTTGTTTGTGCACCTCTTGGATGGTCCGCCGAATCCCTGCAACAGTGTGTTCGTTCGGCTGTTACATTCCTTTCTCGATTTTTCTCTTGGGCATTAAAATCTTCAAGCTTTCGTTATACAAGCTAGTCAAGAAATCTGAAGTCAATTCAGCTGCTGAGTAGTGGCTGGTTTACAGTCTAGTACCTACTAAGCTGTGCGCCCGTTTGTCTATTTAACCCCTTTGTCTGCGTATGCTGGTGTAAAAAAGATCAAGAACTCGCTTTTCTGGTAAAAAGTCTTGTTTCCTTGGTCTCCCGTCCTTGCTAGACTTACCAGAACACCTCCTTAATGAAGATTAATTGTAGTCTGTTAATAGTAGTGCAGGATGAGATCCAGTAATGACTTGGTTGAAGGAACAGAAATGGCCCCCCATGTGAAGGTGTAGAATTTCGCTCCGTAACCGTATCCTTCTCGTGCAAAAAAGCCGTTGTATCCTATTTTAATCTGAGATTTATTTGTCCTCCTGGAGCCAATCAAAGAGCAGATTCCAAAACAGAATTTCTAGGGCTTTCGTAACACATACGCAAATATGGTCCGTTTTGTGCTAGGGCAGTAAGCAAAGGTAATTTTACCCGCTCAAGTTATGCAGAGACGTCGACTCCTGAACCTGATACTTAAAGGGGTGGGAACTTTTAGCTGTTGCGTCTTTCGTCACCAGATAAATCCTGCGGACCAGAATATGGAGCCCTGGAACTGGGTGATGCGTTGGCTGGAAATTGTCGACCCAGCAGTAATAGCCGACCTCCTCGAGCGCTTCTTCCTGCCACGCTGGCTCCATTGTCTCTCCGAGTGGCTCACCCAAGCTGTGGATTCGCGCAATCGTCACGCTCCCTCCACCGGCCAGATTTTTAGCGAAATCGGCGCCTGGTACTCGGGTTGGAAGGGTCAAATCCCCCCCGAGTTGATGGATTATCCAAGTATCAAGGACGCGCTCACGAAGGCCCTCAACTTCATGGAATGTGCGATGCGTGGAATAACTCCGGTTAGTGTCTTTCATGTTCTTTACTACGGGTTTATGTGGCCGCCCTGAACACGCTCATTGTATTGCCATTTCAGGAGGCCTTGTCGTACGGAAGAGCACCGAATTCCCAGCTGGCCTCGGGGCCTCCCAACAGTGGTACTGCACGTCGTCCACCGTTCGTGCCTCTACCACAACTTCCACCGACGAATTTGAGGGAACAGGTGGAACAGACGGCAGCTCAGAGAGGCTTCCTCTTCCTTCCCATTGCAAATCGCTTCCACGAGGGCAAACAAGTGTACCGTCTAGAGGCACAGCAGGTCTTTTTCGACCGCAATGTCGCCTTCTGCTTCAATTCGTATGATTCCGGTTGGCATCCCGTCTCCTTCAATGAACTCATGGCGATGGCTGAGTAGAACTGGTTACGCTTGCCCACCTATGTACAGTCCTCCTGAATTGTAAAATTTATACACTATGTTTTATTGCTTTTTTGCCATTCCAAACCTATACTTACCGCCGTTGCTCAATTGTCAGTCACCTGTTCACTTAGTTAACATTACAGATTTAACAGCTACAAAACAGTTTAAGCATCAAACACCAAAATTGCCTTAATTCCTTTTGCATTGACTACTGATCATAGTTAGTAGTAGTGTGAGGATTAATCCTGACTCGTACAGATGACCGGCCATGTATCCCGAGGTTCATCAGTCCACTGGGTCCAACGAGATGTTATTTTCGCCCGCGATTTTGCTGCTCCTTATCACATTTGGGCCTTACTGGAGACTAAACAGTACCGATCAGCAGATGAATTAGGGGTCATGTATATCCCCATTGCGACTATCGGTCTGTTACAGCAACTTGACTAGTAATGCATTGATAGAATAAGCTACATTGAACGCGACGCTAGGACGTTGCCGTTGGATGTAAACACGCCGGCTTTACCTTTATGGCCCATTATTTGCAACTAGACACGACCGAGAACACGGATGTCAAGTAAAGAAAAGCTAATAATTAGGAAAGTGACTAACAGATGTAGAAGTTCACTGCTTCTCACTCGCTTCCTTTAGAGGGAGGATGCAAGATCACCTTGGTTGAGATTGTGTGCCAGCGAGATAGAAGGGTCGGGTGAGAGTGTGCGACTGCTGGGTGATCTGCTTAAATTCGCGCTCCTGCGACTCCTCCACCAGACGGCGATTAACTTCGGTCAGTAGGTCGAGCACATGAAGGGAGCTAGCGTACTTGCGAAACACATCGACGAGAATTTGGATGAACCAGCTTCCAGCCTTCTCCGAGCGCCAGGACACAAAGCCTGGTAGGGTGGAGTAGGCGATTATATAGTCACTCATGTAAGGCAGACACTTCCACAATGTCTTATGTACCCCAGCGTCCACGCTTTCCAACGGGGATGCAACAAAACTTGCATTATCTGGCTCGTATATATATCCCCGATCCTTCTCCTCCCCTCTACAAGCTTGAAAAAGAATAAACTTGGGTTTGCCAGCTAGGGCTGGGAAGGATTTGTTCGTGAAGGCTTCGAGGATATCATTAATGGCAAAGAGTTTTCCATCAGCAGTGTAGATATAGTCCTGCACTCCGTGGGACATTACAATGAGACCACCAGTGTCAACGTTATAGTGACTGGGGCTTTTTATAAAGGCGCTGAGATTAGACTCCAAGGCAGTGGCGGTGGGATCTAGAAGTACTTCGACGTAGTATCCGAGGTCGGTAAAGAGGGATTTTAAGGCGGCAACATCTTCTGATGAACCAACTCGGTTGCTGAGACCTGAGCCCACTTCGAAGTTTGAAATGTTTACTAGGAGGATGTGGCCGCGGGGAGTAGAGTTGACGGGGTATGCAGCAAGCGACTGCGTGGGCTGCTCCGAAACATGAGTTTCCACCTTGGCTGAAGGTAAAACTGAAGGTACTGGTGGAGGGTTTGTGTTTAAATTAGCCATTTTTTCGGCGAGAGACGACTGATTAGTTTCGGAAAGGGCGGATACGAAAGTATCATAGGCATCGGGACCACAGCGGACTAAAACATTGAGGAGGGTTCGAACTTGATCAGCGATTATGGGACCAGAGGAGAGGATTTTCTCTGCCTGAGTCCGCGAAAGAATTTCATGGCAAAGGAGGTAATCGGTAATCTCCTCGATGTCACGCAGTCCCTTCACGAAATCAACCTGCATCCGACTCAGACGTTGCCGTTGTTCACTATTCATTCCTGGAGTCAAAAAATAGCACCTGCCCATACATTATGTTTAATTAGCACCACAAAGTAGCGAATTCGAACAAGAGCATATACACTGTGGTCATGCAAGAAGTATATTAGTAAAAAAACCATTGTTAACTAATAATTCATTGGCAGATAACCATCTAGAACTATTTCATTCATTTGCTTCTCACAAGGCCGGATTACAAAGTCACTCAAATATTGTAAGTTGAGGGAATTAGAAAGCAAAATCAATAATGAGTTATAGTTTTAAAAAATGGAACGCAATTATGTTACTCGGGAAGACTAGGAATATACTAAAAATTAGGCCAAACCGGTACTAAATAAGTCAGAGGATCTGGCCTACTTCTACTACCACCTTGTGGAAGAGCAACACATTGTTTCTGCGACAACTGTCCACTAGAAATAGCTTCGTGAGACCTTCAAGACCATTACAAGCACTTAGAATGCGCACCAAGGTCCCTCGTCTAATTGTACGTAGGTACATTCAAATCACATTAAAAGTAATACTTCCAGAAGTGAGGATATGTTGCTCAATTTCAAGTGATTTATGTGTAACAGCTCAAAGTATTTGTTTAGCTGTGGCTGCAACTTCATCGCTCACAGCCAAATCATATTCCATAGTTGGATAGATATATGTTGAAAAAAAGGAGCAGCATTACAATGCTAAATATACATGGCAGCATATGTGTCACATAACGCATATTACAGAATTTCATGCATATTTCATGGGGAATATATAATTTGGCTCACAACTGTAGTTAGCAAAAATGGTTGCAAAAACATATTGTACTATTCTGGCTACGACCAAGAATAAAAATAATTTTGGTAAGGTTGCTGGATGCAGTGCTTCGAGACTTCCCTGAAGGCGAAAGAAGGCACAATACTTGGGCAGAATATATATACTCAGCACAGAAAAGGTGTCTGGGCTACTGGCAAGGCCCGAAGGCCAGCCCACCCAGCAAGAAGCAAAAAGGGTATTTCAAAGTAAAAAAGTGGTCCATCACCAATACCGAGAGACAAACCACCATTGTATTACACATATGTTCAACACAGAGAAGGTATATGCGCTGCTGGCATGGTTTAAGGCGTGCTCATCTAGCTAAGTAGAATCTCTAAAACAAAGTAGACTCTTGCCAAAATCGGCTGTTAAACGAACATCCAGCGCATTACACATCTACTCTTCTCTTTTGCGCGTTGTCCCAAGTGCTCCTTTTGCTCAAACTCCCGCATCAGTCATCACAACAAAGTCGATGCTGTAAAGAAACACCGGCGAGCCGGCTGTGCCTGTCACCAAACTTTCATGCATCTGAGGTGATACTTGACCTCAACGTCACTTATTTTTCCTAAAAATCCAGCCGCATCTGACGTTTTGTTCCGTTTGGGAACTGGATTCAGAGACAGAGGATTGTGCTAGCATTCATGTATGTCCACAGGCAGGTGTAAGTGCACTGGCTTGAGGCGGACTTAGGTAAAGGAGGCTGAGGTATAACACAGGTCTGTAGAGAAAGGGTTGTGCTTCTGCTCCTCCTAGCCACGTTGTTCTTACTTCGCAGCTATCCCGTCATACCCATTCGGGCTCTATCCAGTTAGTAAGGAAGTAGAGGAGGTATCGCACGTTCATTTTATCGATAATTTTGTGTAGACACTGTAGAGAAATTCCCAGATGGTTCACGTCCAGTGTCACTTCAGTTGTTACCAGCTTTCCTGCTGAAAAAGGGACTGGGGTGGTTGCCTGTGGTAAACGCCAATTTCAGTCCTTCTGCTTGGAGTCATTGCTGATTCGTCCATCCGTCGCATACGTACTTCTTCTGCTCCGTTGAGATCTATCACCTAGCGGTAGGAATCAGGATAGATGTCCTTTAAGATCGGATTCGCTCTCCGATGCCATCAGTATGGCTCCCCAGGACTTTTCTAAAATAAAAAAAGAAGTAATACTGGGGTAGAATATATATATTTGACATAAAGAAGGTATGTGGGCTGCTGGCATGGCCCAAAGGCCATGAACTGGAATTAGTTGCTCCAACTGCATCGCAGCAATGGCTGTAATACCGCTATTGTTAGACTTTTGGTTTTGGTAGAGTCCCATTTCTAAATTGGTTGTTGCACCAAACCAGATGCAGCACAAACTTCTATAACAATCATTTTTTTAATTTTCCATCGTATCTGTTTTGCTTCTTGTGCTGATTTTGATGCAAGACAAACCCTAACAAGTAGGTTAGAATTTTAGGGGTGTTTAGAGAAATTTTTCTGGAAAAGTGTCAGTAAGTAATTGAATCAGAATTATCCTTATTCGTTGCCTTAAGAGCACTAAACAGGCGAAGTCGCCACCCCGCCCGCCTAGCGGGCTCTCGCCATTTTACGTGTTCAATTTCGTCCTTTTGTTGGTTACTGATAATGCATTCATCGATAGTTCCTCCAGGAAAAACTCTCCCAAGGGTAGGCTGCGTTTGTTTTTCTTACGACAGGCCGATGCACGTATTCCTAAGCCTCCGAAGCCCCCAGAGAAACCCCTAATGCCGTATATGCGGTACAGTAGGAAGGTAATGAACGTTCGCGATCCTGAGTCTGTAGGTGTGGGAAAAAGTGAAAAATGAAAACCCTCAGCTGAAATTATGGGAGGTTGGCCGCATTATTGGGCAGATGTGGCGCGAGTTACCTGATGAGGAAAAAAATATTTACATTGAAGAATACGAAGCTGAGAAGCAACGCTACAACGATACTCTTCGACAATATCACAGTTCTCCTGCCTACCAAGCGTGGGTTGTCGCTAAGGAACGAGGTATATTGCGTACTCATGTTTCTCAATCATGTGCTTCTGTTCCTTCAACTTTATTTTTGTAGCCGAAAAGGTAATTGAGGAGGAAGAGCGACGGAGTGCTGCGCGAGCTCGTGAAAAGCATGAACCACCGGTTGATTTACGGGAGTCTTATATTCTGGAAGACAATGAAGAAGATCCAGATGAACAGTTCACTGTGAAACACGTGGCGGCGGCTCGTTTCCAACGCAACCATCGTCTCATGCACGAAATTCTTAATGACACAAAGCTACCCGATCCTGGCCAGCTAATCACTGAGACTCGTATACAAACTCTGCAGATGCAGGTCAAACAGTTGAAGAGTCACAAAAAGAATCTGTGCAGTGAAATCGAGAACTGTGAGTTACGACACCAAGCTAAGATGCACCGCATTCAGGACGAATCAGCTGCGTTTTACACCGAGTATCGTAAATTGATGGCTCAAACTCCTCGGATCTCAGAGTCCCAGTTCACTGACATGATTGTCAAGGCAAAACAGGATCTGGATCGTGAGGAAGAGAAGAAGCGTGAGCGCCAGGCTGCAGAAAATGAAGCTCGTAAACAGCGTGCTCTGAAAAGAGAGGCCGAGATGGCAGAAGCTGAGAGGCGTCGTCAAGCGCAGCTTCTCCAGCAGCAGCAACAACAAGTACAGACTGCTTCCCAGGTTCCCCACGCGCCTAATGTATGGTTTGACTGGCTCGCTTCTGTTGTGCCTGTTTTTTATTCTAGCACTTGTATATTGTTTCCTCTAGCAGGGACCTTCGATGGAAGATCCTGGCTACGCACAAGCGCAGCAGCAGGCCCAGTACAATCGGAAACCTTACCCTTGTCCTCCCCCACCGGCATCACAAGCGTATCCACCCCCACCTCACTATGCTCCCCCATCAACACAGCCACCACCATCCATGGAGGGAGTGATGGAGGCAGAGAGAAATAACAATGCACTCGTTGAAGAGTCTATCAAGAAAGATGTTCCCGCTTCCGAACCGGGCGCAGAAGTGGATGATCCCAACTCCAAAATGGCACAGGATCAACAACAGTCGATGGTCCAAAGTTCATCAACTGTGATGGGTGGTGGTAGCTCACAGCCACCTCCGAATTACACGGTGCCACCGAATCAACAAGCTCCGCAACCCCCACTACCTGAATATCAATACCACCAACAGCAGCAACAGCCACAACAGCAGTCGATTCCACAACCGCCTCCAATCCAGGGTCGTTATCCTCCGAATTACTATCCTCAAAGTGGGAGACCTCCTTACTCGAGTTACCCCACTCCGCAGCCTCAACCAGCACCTCCACCGCCGCCACCGAGTTATCCAGCTTCTCAACCACAGCAGATGTACCCGTCGTGGCAAGGGCAGTACCAGCAACAATCGGGGTACCCAGGCGGGGGTATGGTGCCACCGCAAAGGTATCCCCCGCCACCACACGGCTACCAGCGCCCGCCTTACTCGGAGGTTCAGGCTCCTCCTGTACCTCCGCCCTACCAGCAACAACAGCAAGCGCCGGTAATGCACCATCCTCATCAGCAGGGCTATTGGCAGCAGCAGCAGCCTCCGCCACCACAACAATCCGACATGTCCCAGCAGCCACCGCCCTCTGGACACTACCCGGTCTCATCAGCCTCTGCTGACCCGCAAATGGGAATGATTCCTCAGAATCAGCCACCACTACCTTCGCAACAGGTCGCGGCTCCATCCGCTGGGTACTATCAGGGTAAGTAGTTTAGAATATTTGGTGATACTGTAACTGTACTAGGTGGTCTGATGCGCGAAATTCGTGCTAAGCTTAAAGACTGAACCTTTCAGTGCTCGAGGACTATCTGTACTGTTTTCCCAAACTTGATAGAATTCCAATCGTGAGTCAATTACACGGGTTAGATGAACCAATACTGTTAACTTGCAGCTACAAGTCTATTATGCTACTTCAGGTTTTGTCTATCCGCACCACTTGAATTAATCCCAAGTTGTTGTAAATTGGCTACCCCAAGTTCTGCTGAAAGATTAACTCGGACATACTCCTATTTTTAGGCTATGGCGGAGCTCCACCGCCGGCCTATGGGGTTCCGTCCTCCCAAAGCGGGGTCTACTTCAACGGCCCCCCACCACAACAGCAGCAACCGATGCCACCGGGTGGTGGTTATGGGCATCAGCCCTACATGCAGCCACAACAGCAACATTGGCCCCAACAATATCCACCGGCAGGTTATCCATCTTCACAGCCACCACAGAGACCCTCGATGGCTCCACAGTCCACTCCTCTTTCTCAACCTCAGTCCACCCCGCAGGCACCACATCCACAACAACCGCCACCACAGCAACAACAGCAACATTCAATGGGTGCACCTGCCACTTCGGGGGGTGCTGGTGGCGGTGGTGTGGCATCGCCAGGGGATCAGTCGGCCATGCGAAGGCCCTCGCCTAACCCTCGGCACCCTGCCGCTACCCCAACTCCACCGGCTCCTGGTCAGTAATTAACACCAATCCCTCCTGCATTTGTACTTAAACTTTGTCTGTCGGTCTGTCCACGTGTTCGTCGCTTTTATGTACCTCATTTAATGAATCTGTGGCTGCTCCATTCTTCTGGGTCCCAATACTTTCAAGATCAGGTTCCAAAATTTGCTGGTGGGGTTTTTGGGCGTACTATTGTTGCTCCCATGTTCTCAAAAGGTTAACCAATTTAATGTTAGGTTTTCCTTTGGGTGTTTTAAAGGTGAAATAACTGACTGAGTTTTGCCTGTCCGGTTCGTGTCCGGCTTATAGACACCTGTATCGGGTACAGCGATCACTACGTCGAATCTATCTAGTTGTGAAATCCATTCAAAACTGAGGGGGAGAGCAGAGTCTGCCTCCAAATGTCCACCCGCAGTATCATCGACGCAAAACGTTTTACGCCATGCCTCAATAGGAAATTGTACTCCATCCATAAATTGCTCTATCCCCGTCTGAAGTAAGTCGAGAAGACTTCACTTTTTTTCATTCCGATCTTAAATGTGTGCACTTTTAACTCTCATCCCTTCCTGTGTACTTGCATATACAAGATCAGTTCTTTGAAGAGGGAGTGGGTTGGGATGAGTGTCCGGGCCTACAAAGTAAGGTGACACTTAGATTGCCGTCTGTTGCAGTCATCGCTTTACGTTTAGATATGAATGCAACGTTTCGTCAAGACAGTAACTCGGATAGTTAAAATGATTACGATTGTCTTTTCACTACTCCAAAGAAATCAAAAAAAAAATGCAAAAAACGCGGCTCATAAGGTTAGTTATCAGTAGCAGGTTCGGAGGGCAGCTTTAGATACCAACAGTGACAATCACAATTGGGCGCCGGACAGACCACCTTTGTACTATTGTCACGCTGCCGCATGCACCACGCTGACATGTGCTCCATGTGGCCGCCGTGGTGACAGAGGGGGCAGGCCACAATCACACCACGCGCTGTGATGTTGCAAACTGCGCAGCGCATCAGGCTACCACCCGCACTAGCGGTCGCGGTCTTAGCAGCCGGAGTGGCAGTGAATTCCGCGAGACCCGTAGGGCCAACCATCTCTGTCTGGACAGATGGAAGGCTGAGCAGGTGAGTTAGCGCGGGCGGCATGTGTTCGGATCGCCACTCACCGGGGGAGAGAAGAACTTGGCTCTGACGGTCGAGGGGTTTGGCCAATCCGAGGTGATAGAAATCGGGGCGCGAGCGAGCATGAAGCCATGTCAAAACTTTGTGCCACTGGGCGGAGAAGTTGGCGCGGGGCATTATGAGATCCCACGCAGATAGGAGGCTGATGTAGACGTTGAGGAAGTGCGTGTACTGAAGCACGTGTTTGAATGACAGCAGCCTTGAGACGGAAAGCAGTTACATAGTCAGTATAGCCATCACTGGACAGACCAGCTCCCCAGCCATTGTGCTCACCAAACGTGAGAGGTGTAAGGAGCGTCCTGTTGAGGCTCCTCGCCAGTAACCCCACCAATGTCCATCAGCACTTGTTCCCGAAAGTGCTGCTGAAGGAGAGCGATGTTGGCGATTTCTTCGGAGCTTTGACGACTTCGAAACACCTCGGAACCGGCAATATCGGTTGTAACGGAGACCTTGTAGCATGGAGCAGTACCAGGTGAAGAAGGTTGAGGTGACTCCGAAGGGTCCGTGGTTATGCTCTCGGTCGAAGGTAAAGGATTGACTGAACAACTGCTCGACCGTGTCCTCGCGTACGAAGGGACACTCGTTCCGTTCTCATATGTAGACTGGTCGGTAAGACTTTTATCGGCTAAAAGTAATGATGCAATTAAACATCAGCTGACATTCCTGCTTGGTGAATGGCATGAAGTTATTAAAGTTAGACATACATTTGACAGTTGTTGCCTGGTGTGACGTTCGAGTGGGTGTGGAGTCTCCCGTGGTGGGTTTCAGAGACGCCCTTTTAATGAAGAGAGTAGCGCTTTGTGATTGCTAAAATGAAAAGGAATGGCATATACGAAATGATGGAACAAGTTTGTGAATTTTTGGTATCCCTCGCTGTAACGAATTTTAGTTTATATGGAATTGTAAAGTTCGATTGTCTTCACGCGCCATCGCAGTCCGTTGCTGCACTCTCCACTGCTTTTCTCTCGTCATCAAATGTCAAACTGAGGTTAGTTTGGTTTCAAGCCTGGATAAGCTTCTTGTTACGTTTGTTGCATAGCATTTGGAGAAGGTGTAGTAGCAGGACATACAACCCAGTAAGAAGTGGTGATGAATCACTCAGCCATCACCATATCGCGACGAAGGAGACTTCCTGTTGTCCATAATAATGGGTAATTGAAATCACTCGAAATTAAGACGTCGAGAGATTCCAATGACGGGTGATTAAAAAGCCACTCATTTATGCCTACATCAATTGGAATGGGAAAATCGTGACGGAAGCTGAGCGGATGGGGTCCATCGATACGCCTCAAGGAGGATTGACTTGTTCCCTTCCGTAAGTTGTAAAGTCGCGCGATTTTACAGTTCACTGACTGACCTGCAATGGGAAATGACATCAAGGGAAAGAACATTATCACTGGCGATCCGCCAACGATTCAGCACCCATCACACACCCCCTAAAGTCCCACTTCATCCGCAGGAGACCAGGCTCCCTTTGTGTGTGTGTCATGGACTTCAGACGCAATTTCTCACTAATGAATTTGTTGTAGAAGGCCAAACAACAGCCACGGCTAGGATCTATCTACTCAGCATGAGAAAAAAAACTCGAACGGGCGTAAAACTCAGCCTTCAGAAACAGTTAAGACTAGTCAATCAGGCAGAGGAAAGCCTGATCTCCACAAAACAATGCAGAGCCTTCCAGACCCGTGCGATTAGCGCTTTATAATGAGGGAGAAAGAAAGGTAGTGTTTCATCCTCATTTCTTCTAAGTCATAGTGGTAACCATCACCCTTTCCTGGCTAGGCTTTTACATGGCTTCTAGAAGAAAAACCGTTTTATAAAGTTGCATTGGCAGAAAACTCGTGCCGCGTCAGGCAAAGAACCGCACAAAAGTATGCGGTTTCTACAAATAAAACTTTAGGACTAATGATGATAAAGATTCCTTGCGTCAAGGCGTAGTGTGACTGTTCTCAAGTCAAGCGCTACCCCCATCTACCTTGTCGCTGTCAATTCAACCGATCTAACTGAGACATAAATCAGTGCAACCACGTACCATGAACTAACGCCATCGTTATAACAAAAAAGGGGCTACATACAGAACCCGAAAAGATTCAATTAAGGATAATTGACAGCCAAAGGGTGTAATTTTAATTGGTATAAAAAAGAGTGGCATTTTCCGAGGTGAAAAATGCGCACTATATGAATGCTCTGTAGCCATATTCATATCGCCCACTAATATTCAATCTGAAGAAAGCAATTTGGAGCGTAGACGAAAACGGGTTAATGAGATGAAGAAATACATCTTTTTAATGAAAGTCTCGCCCTAAAGGACTATACAAGGACCTGCTATCTGCCCAAGAAGAAGCATATGTAGGCACTAATTTCTGGCACTCAATGTTGATGAGGGAGACTTTTTTAATTTGTTATGACAAACATTAAATTGGATTAAAATTTCATGTGTAAATCGCACCTCGTCTGCCCTCTCCATAGACGTCAAGGTGAGCGGTTCATGAGCTTCCAGAAGAGCTAAGTTGGGTAGCATTGCAGTCGACTTGGATCTTCGCGATGCCTGTATCCCAGTGGCGGACTGGTGCACCTGTTGAAATGCGCGCCGAAGTGGGCTCTTTTGTTGTTCAAGGGGGCAAGGCCGGAAGTAGGTGAAGGAGGTGCGTTGCGGTTGCTTCAAAGCTACAGCGGCGACTTGCGATGGCGCAGTGAGGAGGAGGGCTGGCGGACTGGACTGCGCGTCGATCGCGGCCATTGCGAAACCCATCATTGTCAAGCTCTGGACGTCCCCGAGGGATAGAAAGTGAGAGAGCCTAGGAGAACCGGAAATTTTACGAGCACCCATCTTAGTACGTCTCTCATCACTGTAGTATGCATTTGACAGCCCGGTTCTCCTACCCAAGTCTGTACGTCACATATACGTGACATGGCGGATTTAAGAAATTAGACTGAGGAGATTAGGTTTAAAAAGTTGGTAATATATTAGACAAATACAAAGTCAAACTGTAAATACTAATTTTCTTCCGGGAGTCTGGTAGTAAACGCGTAAGTGAAACAAGTACCAGCGGCTCGGCTTAGCCCTTCTGTCTATCTTCCCGACAATAATAGGAGGTATCAAACGCGGCAATTGAGTATGAAATTTCATGAGCGTACCAACCTCAAATTGACCTATAATTTGACTTTCACGCTCCAAAAGGTAGAGAAGGAGAGGCTTAACAAATTTGGAATTAACTCACCAAGTATTAAAGAAGGCACGACCAATAGATTGACTGGCGTAGGGCGGAACGATGGGGGGAAAGGGGGGTTGCCTCAACTTCGCGCCAGCCAGAGACGCCACAAAGCTCCAAAACTAGAGAATTAAACAAATTAGCTAGCTACACGCAAAACGGTGGAAAGTTCACTCCCCAACAGATGTAGAGTAGCGATTAGAAACCCGCGGAAAAGGGAATGATTCAGCAGATTCGAGGATGAATTAATTAGCAGTTACAACTAAATAGATATTACTGAATGCATTTAACCTAAAAAGCTTTAATTTTCATCTGCCACAAAAGTAGATGAAACTAATCTTGACTACAGAGAGCTAGGCTAAGGGTAGTATCTAGGATCTGAGAATATCTGCTAGCGTTACACGGACGGGCTGTATTTGAATGAGAATTGAAGTCCGATGAGCCGGAGGCGTGCGTGTATGTGCTCGCGCGGATCCGCGAAGTTCAACTAACCTGAATCAAATCCAACCGGCCAGTTGTTTGAGCGACCTTTAGGTTTTGTAAGCACATGCGCTTCGGATCGGCAATGTCAAGCCTGGATGAATGATAAAGAAGGAAAAGTGAATGGGATGTACGTCAATTTTGAAAAACCTCGGCTAGACCATGCCTAACTCAAAGCATTTTGCATGGGTTGTGGGATCATGTGCTGTGCAAAAAACCGCCTCTGCAGCACTTAACATGGATTATGGAAGCACACTTAGGTGCATTTTGAAGGCTCATAAGAAAACTGGTTCACTTATACGTAGCGCCCCCCTCCCACCTTCGTTTTTCTGAAGTCGAATGAGGTCATAATTTTTGCAACATGCGGAAGGACTGAGGGGCTGCTGGCACGGCCCGTGGGCTATGCCGCTCAGCGGAGATACAATCGTGGGGCCTTCAAGGCCCACGTAACCAAAAAAATGGTTAAACAAACCACTAAATTATTACATTATAAGTGGCAATCATGTGCTTAGGCGGCAAAGCAGCCAGTAAATTAAGGTGGTGCATGAATAAGTCCCTCAAATACAATCATTCACACATCACGAAGGCAGTAAAAGCGTCTAATGGCAAGTCCAGACGGGCTGACTTCCCAAATACACAAATGTGAAAACTGGAACATTCGTTTTCTGCCTCAAGCAATAAAAGCACGAATTTTAGTTGGTTTAATTCTAACGGCGCAAAATTGAGAAAAGGCCCCCGTTGAAGTGACTTACGAGTAGTTGGTCGCAAGGTACTTTGACATCGGTATCAATGATGAGAGTTCGCTGACAACTGCTCGTGGCGAACCTATGCAAAAGCAGACAAAAGTGAGCTCAAATACACACAGTAGTAGGAGACGAGGGCGTATCGTCAATCAAGTGGTAATGGAGAAGTACGACATTCTCGACTAGGATACCGACGGCTAAGTGGGTAAATAGGGTTAAATAGTGTAATATGTGTTTTGAACAATATGCCACGAGTGTGATAATCGTGTAAATTGTCAAGACTAACCGTTAGAACGAGTTCGATCAAAAGAGGCCTTTCGAAGGGAATTTGAAGCATGGAAAGGAGTGAAACGCGTGGCATAGGATGTTCTACGCATCTGCGTTCTTTGATTCACTATTGTAGGCTGCTCGGTGCCCACGACTGGTGCCTTTCCAGTAGAGGCAGTGGATACCTGAAATAGAACAAAGTACAGATTTGGAAGCTTTACATATCGTGGTAATGAAATTTGCTACACAACAAACACGAACAGGTCACCTTCCTAGATTCGCCAGAGGTCTTTCCTGAAAAGTGGCGTCTTCGATTGGCATTTTTTGGCGATCCATGTGTCATTAGGGAGGAACTGGAAGTACCTGGTATTGTCTCTCTAACAACACCAGCACAGACAGCATCCGCACTCAGCGACCTTTTTAACTGGCTACAAGTATCACCCACTGCCTGATCTCCAGTCTGCAATAACCTTTGTTGCCTGTCTGCAGCCTTGCAAAAGAGGTGTTCCTTGCCCTCTGTGAGCTGAAGGTAGTCGTGGAAGGAGCGAGGTGTGCGAGTGGATGCTAGAGGCACTGGACTAGCAGCTTGAACAATTTCTACAAGGGGTTGATGAAGCCCGAAAGCCACCATAAGGCCTGAGGGGGAGATACGAACCCCGGAGGTGCGTGGAAAGGGGACGAACACATCCTGGGAGGGCGGCTGTGAGACGGCGTCAGTTCCCTCAGCGGTGGTGGAAGCCTGAAAATCGGGATTTTCTTGAGCAAAGCTGACGTAGGGATCGGATGACGCCAGATTGGTCCCATTATCACCTGTCTTCTGCGGGTGGAAGAAGATTAAAAGGATTACAGATGGTAAGGATAACTTCAACTTACACACTCCTCGTCAGAAGAAAATGCCAAATTGGTAGAGGTGAGATGTTTGAAGACCTTTCGGATGCACGGCTCTAGACACCCACGCGAAGCAGAAACGGTCTTTTCGGCCGTATGCTGAATGTCCTGTAACGGAGGTGAGGAGGAACTAATTACACGTTCTAAGTTCTCACTTTAATGCAGATGCTTTGTTATGAAACACAACTCTGGAATTTACAATAACCGTAATACCATCGCTGAGGTGAGTTGATTTGTTACTTAACATCATAAACATCCACAAAGCACTAGAATGTCCCCTAATTGAAAAATACTCTATCTTCTTTCGTCGCATTGCGGTGATGAGTTGATATTGCAGTGTGGCGAGTGAATTCACAATGCAGATTTTGAAGCGTACACAAGTTCATTCTCAGAACCATTAGTCTCCACTTCAATTTCTATCAGTAAATCATGTGGGTGTTTTCGGTTCAACCACAGACGTTACAGTAAAAGCAGAGTGGTGGAATGCACTCTCTGAATCACAATGAAGCAGTGGTGCACATCAAAGTGGGTCATCTGATTGCTACGCGAAAAGCAGCAGCAAAGAATGACACTAGGGGTAAAAGATTGCAACAAAATGAAAGCCAGGGTATGAACTTTCACAAATAATCTACTCAAAGATCTGTAACAAAGTGGGAATTTGGTCGTCTCAAGAGTAAAAACGCCACCTCAGCGGTCAAGTGGCCTCAAAATAAAAAACTAGGAAAGTGGGGTAGATAAAAGCTTGGACAACAGGCTAGAAGTGGCATCAATATACAGGTGCTCAGAATTGTTTCTTATACATGGGCAAACGGTCTAATGAAACCAGGTTAGCCTTCAAAGTTTGTAGTATAGTGCATCAAAAAGCATAAATTTTATCAGTTTATTTACAAATGAGGCCAAACTTCCAGGACGACTCAGATGCTACAGTTTAGCACTTACATGCCAATTCATTACCTATGCAGTGTACCACCGAGTCCACTGAATTACACCTCAAGTAACCTGTGGAAGCACAAAACTAGCCGAGCATACCTTAAGCATACGCATGAGTGTTGATTCATGCACGACGGGATCAGAGGCGATGAAAGCAAAAGTGGGAGGGCAATTGGGTGCAGGATAGGCGGGAGGAAATCGAGCCAGAAGGGTTACGTTGCCGGCACTGGGGAGAGACCCTAGAGTCCTTCCTGAGCTCGTCACCGTCAACGGTGTCGGTCGTGGCGAGTTAGCAACGGTGGTGGACTGAAAGAGCGCGTCCAGATCGGTCAATGGAAGGGAGTCAGCGCGATCGCGTGACTTAGCCGCCTCATTGCCTGCATCGAATCCACACACTGTGCGGTGATGGTAGTGATTACGACGGCAGTAATAGAGCGTCAATCGAACTGTGCAGTCTACTTCATTGCGATCGACATCATCAATTCGGTACTAGCAGCAGGAGGAACAGACAAATGAAGTCATCACTCACTGCCCCGAGAAGATTATTGCTAGCTTACCAGGCCAATGGAAGAGCTAAGAAGGGAGAGTTCTTGCGCGACAAACTGGAAGGCAAGAGGGTCTGTTTTGGTGGATTGAGAAGCTGTACAAAGAACGAGAGGGAGGGAGAGAGTCATTAATCAGTTACTGAGACACTTTAATGCCGCACAGGCGTACAAATAACCTGTCTGTTCTGAGAATGGGCGCCTGCTGGAGACATCATTACCATCCACGGTCTGGAATATTAAAAAAAAGAGTAAAAAGATACCACAAATGAAGTGGGAGAAAGGAAGAAGGTTTTTATACAGAAAGAGCGGCTTTAGAATCTTTTGCAGCCGGTTCTGAGGCCACTGGGCGTGAGGGACTATGATAAGATGATGGCCTCACTCCACTGACGTGCAAAAAAGCAGCCGGTAGATTGTGAACCCTCAATTGGCGGTCTCGGGACCAGGAGACGAGGTTGGGCAGTTGGACTGCAGGAGACAATGGGGTCACATTAATAACGGTATTAACTAAAAGTGAATAGTGTGAAGGATTAAAATATGCCTTCTTTTGCATCCACAGGTAGTGGTAGAGGGAAAATATTTCCCAAACTTATGAATTATTAAAGCAGAAATACCGCACGAAGCATTGCATTCATACCTCCTCGATTCTTGAATTCCATAAATGGGTTATGCCTTAAGGTAAAGCAGGTAAATTGGGTAGAAATTTGGGACGAAAAACGCTTTCTGCATTTGGGGACTGACTAGTGCACACAATCGAAGCTGCATGGAGAAGTCCTCAAAGTGGATGCGCCCAGTGACCGACTTCCCGATGCTTAATGAGCCTTTGAAGATTTTACTTAGGAAATGCTCAACTGAGATGGCATAGGCTGGGCCCACGGTGCGCTACGGAGATGCCAACCCTAAGATAATCAGACAGGAATGGTAGAGTGGATGATCAGTAATTTTGTTGGGCTTTTTTAGTGGAAGAAAAGTATAGCGTTTATCACCAGGATCTAGTAAAACTTATAAAAAACACTTCCTCGACCGCTTTGGAACGTACCCATATCCCGTAGATTTTCCTTATTCTCCAAATCGAAAGTGGGCTCATTGAATGTGGAGATGGGGGGAAGCTCAGACCTACACCATCCAAAGCCGAGGACACAGCTCTCCTCACTGATGCCCGAACTCGACTGGTAGCTCACGCCCGCTCCCTCGTCGGCCTCATTCATGGCGGGGACCAGACGCATGGGGGACAGGGTGTCTGACCTCCAGAGAATCAAACCCGAATTCGTCCAACGTGTCCGATGCGGTAGGCTGACAATCCCGACCCCTTTAGGCTAAAACCAACACAGAGAGGAAAACTGCCATGGACATTGTAGTGTCCGACGCTCTGGGTTAAGTCAGTCATTGTGCAGCGATTCTACCTACTGATCAAGTCAAATCACGACTTTTAGCTTTTCAGCCGTAAAAAGGATACTACCGTGGTATTACGGCACGAGGCAGCTAGTGTCAAGGGCAATAACTGATGCACATATCGCTGAACTGTTCAGATATACTTAGTCAAGACAGCAAGCAACAGTGGAAGGGAATGCATGGGAATCGGAATAGGACTGCAAGCACAGTTTGGTTATGAGACGCTCAGCCACTTGGCAATGAGATATTTCAAAGACAGCCGCAGGTGCACCAGTTTTAATGCCGATCGCGGTGATTCAGCCTGTAGAGCGCTTGATTTTTAATGTCTAGTCAATGCATAAGCTGTGGAACAAATACTTGCAATGCCAGTAAGCTAGTGCGCACTGGGTGCCAGGAGCCCTTTTCACCTCGGGTCAATGGTGAAGAGTTGAGAAGCCTTTTGATACGAAGAAGGGGGATTTTCTAAATTACAGCATCACATGTGGTCAAACTTACTGACATCTGTAAAAGAGTGTCTCAGAGGTCAGCATTTTAACACCGATGAAAAAGTGAATCAGACTGGTACAAGGCGGTTCAGTCTTACTGACAAATCTTTTCGCATCCAAAAATACCGGGTATTGGGTGGATCCCGAGATGAGCTTATAAACACAGCATAAATGCAGTTTTCACTCCTTGAGATCCATTATTTGGTCTTATAAATTACCAATTTGATTTTAAAGTTCCCTGTACAAGGAACAGGAATATGATACGTATGGTGTAAGTCAGTTTACACAAATGCTGGATGAGGTTCAGTGTAACCGTGGGACATCTTACCGTGTAGCGTAGCTGAAACATTGGGATCTTCTTGTAATTGCCGACAAGCAGAGGGTCGTCGAAGTTGTTGAGATGCCAGACACGTAGGCTGCCGTCCTTAGTGGAGAGGACGAACTCACCAGTGCGAATGGGCGACCAAGCCATTGAAAGAACCCGCGACGACTGCATTGAGAGGTGGCGCTCGGGTGTGTTAGACTAACATGCAAAGGCAAGCAGATACTTGCTTCAAATATGGATGTATTCAACCATTAGCCGGACAGGAAAGGCACTTCAAATACAATCTGCAGACATCTGATCCTGTGAAAGTTGGTGTTTTTTAGTGGTATGAGAAGGATTACCCTTAGAATACATTTCCAAACAATGCATTGTGTGATACACTGCTTCCGGATGCGACAATGTCGACCGAAACGAAGTTTTGATACGAAGCAGGACATTTTATTCCAATGGCAAAACAAATACACGGAAGAGATCGGGCAAAAATGGGTTGAAAAGAGACGTACTCGAAGATCCCAAAATTGGACCATGAAGTCGCCCCCACTGGCAAAGCTGTGCTCTCGGAACGGATCCCAACGGAGCAGACTTGTGGAAGCTGTAAGGTCGGGAGAATCCACCTCAACGGGGGACAAAAGTGGGTGCAGCAAGGATGAGGATAATAGAACTAGAAACCTACAGAACAGTTCAATATTCTTCACCAGTTTGACTGGGTCCCTCAGATCCCACACGGTGATTGAACGAAACTGTTCATTGGAGGCTGTGGCCAAAATATTAGGTTGCATAGGGCACCAATCCACAGCGTTGATTGGTCGGATGAAGCCCTGAAGTAGTGTCACCAGGGTCAGTCTGCTTTCAGTGGACGACCAGGAGTACACCTCGCATATGTTTTTTCGCTGAAATTAAATTCTTTCAAAATGAGCATCACGATCATACAGTTAATATCTGATGAAAGGGTCACGAGAGGATTTATGCAATGATATAAAGCAGGGGCGTTTAATAAGTGATAAAGAAGGAGAGAGCCTGCAAGCAACATGCGGGAATCTTCCAAAATGGTTGTTTTACCAATCGTAGCATTTCCGACGTGTCAATTTCAAAGGTTGATAGTGGACGAGCGTTAGTGGACGCCAATTACTACCATATCGCTCGTAAATGGGTATGAAAAACTTACAGCCAGAGCGAACTGGGATCCATCATTGGGATGGCACTGTAGAATTGACGGTTCGAGTGCATCAATCTTTTCAAAATAGGCCTTGTCGTAGGGAGATTCAAGATCAATGACGGCTAACCCTTTGGAGCTAAAAGTGAGAAGCAGGATAGGTGTAATTCAGAATCAAGCTTGATAAAGCAATCATTATTTGGCAAGAAGATTCCATTCACAGACCCCTAGCCATGGTCAAAATTGGAAGACACAAAGAGGTAGATCACGTACCCAGCTAAAAAAGCGAAACGCCCCGTACAGTCGACATCAAGCACAGAAACCTATTGTGGAAGGCACATATGAACGCTATGTGGATGAGTAGATGGAAAAGGGACGCTAGAAGTGGTGCAGAAAACGTACCTGTAGGTCTGGATGAAAAAATTCACCAATTTGATGGCTCCCCTGCAAACAAAATGAATTACTGTTTCAGCACCCGGACTACATGTTTTTGTGGATCTCTCAAAAATCTCCAACGATAAACTCCTAAGGACATGCTTTTCAGGGAGCACGGCCTTAACCTATAGCAGTACCCTATAAAGCGCCAGCACGGGAGTAGTCAACCTTCTAATACTAGCAGGCATCCACTTTTGAAGTCATAACATCCTATCTTGCACCACAGTGACACACATCGAGAACAGAATCTGAGCAGGACAACCAAGGAGGAAATCAAAGGCACAGCTAGTAGCATTATCGTTTCGCCAGAAATCCCACCACCTGAACCTTCCTGTTATCTACAATTCGTATCATCTGCAGTAGCCTGTCATATTGAAATACCAAGAAGAGCAGCTAAGCATTAAAAGCATTGGTCAAAAGATGGTCCTCAAGCAGACAACAGGAGAAGTAGCACATAGTACGCTCACACAGCGAGTTTATTTATCCAAACAACCATTTCCCCAATATAGCGAACAGACATACATATGGAGATAGGTAGAGGAGAGTGGAGAAGGCACGAACCCACTGACAACTGTACACATAAAAGGTGTGGTAGGAACGGGAGATCTGGGAGGGAGAGATGAACCGCCTACATAACATATATACATGGAAAGAGGAGGGAGAGGAGATGCGTGTCTAGGTAGACGCACTGGCTGCAGACATCTCCAGTGCCACTGCACCGCAACTGTCAGTCATGGGGGCGGTAGACTCCACGTTCATGGGAGAGGTCAGGTCCAAAGAGGAAGTAGGCTCCACGGAAGCAGCAGTGGATGGCGTGGCGATCTTTCGACGCTTGTAGGAACGAGGGGCGCTTGCGACACGGTAGAGAGAAGCGCGAGCTATCCGACTGACCCGTCTGCTGCGCGATGCCACGGCGGAGGAGCCAGCACTGCTACGCAGAGATCGGGACGATTTATTGATGGAGGTATCACTCTGCAGCCGACGTTTGCGTCGCTTCCTTCGACCAGACACGGTCATTGCGTTGAACAAACTCTCCACCGGAGTTTCAGTCGCCTCAGATTTCGGTGCGACTGAGGGAGATGTGCGGCTTGTGTCGTCAAGATCCTCTTCAGCAGGGTGGGGCTCTTTAAAGCCCAAGTGGACTTTTGCCTTCCCTTCTTCTTCCCCTTCCTCCTCCTTGGTTATAGCAATTGGATCGTCCAATGGAGTTGAGGTGGGATGGTCACCACTAGTAACACCTGCAGAGGATGGCGACGATGGGAGATGGTTGGTAGTTGGAGGTTCGGAATTGGAAGTGTTTTCTACTTTTGTTGCACCCGTTCCTAGTGGAATGGTTGCAGAACCCTTGAAAGAGGCAAATGGAAAAGGTCAACCCTTTTGCCAATCAAAATAGGAAGTGTGGATACTGATACTTTTAACTATATACCAAATCAGGATGCTGACCGCAGACGGTTCTGACAATACTGTCTACCCTTCCAGCCCCAATTCCTGCGCATATACAGAGGTGTAACTTAGAGGCAAAAATTCTTTTAGGATCAATAAAGCTGGGGATTCCATTTCAAATGTTGAATCAAGAGTGATTACCAGCCATGGGGTTTTCCTTCCAAATGACAACACGATTTTAAAGAGGAAATCATATCATATGGAAAATTCTTAAACAGCTAAAAAATATTCAGGCATAAAGAACATTGAACTTTAATAAGTGATTAAAGTTAGACTGAAACGCTACCAAGCATAGGATTTATGATCAAGCAGCCGACCGATGACTCCAATTACACAACGCATATTTAAATTGGAATTGATAAAGCATCTTCCGGCCGATTTCACCCGTAAAATTTAGGATAATCTGTATTTTATATATAAACAGAACTTTACAAATAAGCCACTTAAGATCCACTTATTTGTCATCTCAGAAATTAGAGTCCGGTGAAGTATCAAAGGCAAAACCCTACTTCTAAGAAGGGGATAAAGTAAGAACGTACTGCAAACAACGCAGGAGTAGAAAGAACGGGGCTGTTGGACAATGAAGACACCTGTTTGCTACCACCCGGGGTTGTAGCAGGGGAGGATACTTTGGGATAATACTCCGTGATAACCACGCTGAATCCATTTGCGAATACCTCAAAGTGCTGCGGACATGAACGATCGACATTGCGAAGAGATCTGTAATCACAAGCCATTGCAAAGTATTTGACATTCCACCACGTGGCACATAGGGTCCGATATAAAAATATATCACAGTTATCGAAAAACTGCCTTACCCGGGGCGCAATAATGCAACACGTTTTAACGCTGAGGCAGAGGCCGATGCGCTGCTATTAGAATTTAGATGTCGATGGTACTTTCGACGGTGATGCGTGGTGGATTCCGTGCCGGCGGTTTTTGCACCACTCTCTTCTAGGCGTTCCTTGATGATGGTCCGGGCAATGAGATTTTGCTCCTCCACAATCTGTCTATTCAACTTTGGTTTGCGGGTCGAAGTGCCTTTGCGAGTCTGGCACATTTCACAACGAAAAGCCTCAGCAGAGTTCTTGTAAGTGCACACCGTGCAGTCCCAAAATTCTTCCTCTCCGCCAGTTGCCAACGTGGAGGATAGTCGATGTTTTCGTTTTCTGGAAGAATAAAAAGGAAGCATAAAGTACGAGCCAGCATGCCTAGATTATGAGCTTAAAACCAAAGGTCTGCGAGCTTACTCATAATGCCAACACACATTCAAATCCTATTTCTCTACCTTTACAGAAAGGCCAGAGAGAAATTAAATGACAAGATGAAATGAGAGCCTACACCATCATTCCACTTAATTAAGCAAGGTCCGAATAGCGAAAATCAGAATGAAGTTAATTAAAACAGTAAAGTGGTACAAATTCAAAGCGATAGCCTAAAAAACAGAAGGACGAATAGTGCTTATCGTATAACAACAAACTAACATAGCCATTGTGATAATGAAGCAGTGAAGTTGAAATAAATGTTTATTTTGTCCTTAAATGGGGAATATTTCAAGCAAAATGGTGACTAACGAAGCAAACTATCATCGAAATCACCCCCTACTATAAATATCAAACGGAATGCGGTTCTTTCCAAACCTTTTCAATAGTCTAAGCCAGAAGTAGCACAGAACAAGAGGAGGCAAAAAAAATGAAGCCTCTGACCTTCCTTTCCCCACCAACCTTAAGAAAAGGAGATTGCAAAAAAAAGACCCCAATTCAGACATCAGCTGTTGTAACCGCCTAAATAATTAAAGCATATACGCAAATAGTGAGGCAGGTTTTAATTTTGTATTGGCAATATCAGCCTCGAAAAACACATTGTTTCTGAGCCACAATCACTCCCAAAAGATGGACAAACAAAATAAAAGTAAACACCTTAACGACTCAGTGTGACGTGAATCCATTCCTAGGTAGAAAGCATAAGGTTTGTTCTCCGGAGAAAGGGGAATCTACGAATCCCGCCCCCCGTGGCAACTTATGCAAACACAAGCTCTTGTGCCTTTAACATTATCCTTTTTTTCTGTAAAAGCGCAAAAAAGCTGCTTAAGCAAAATTTAATAAATCAAAAATTAAAATGCATGCAAATAAGGTAAGTAAATGCAATTCGTGTGTCTGCCTAAGCAAGCGCTTTGAGTATTATGAAAACCACGTTTTCTGCAGCAATAGCAAACTAATCTTTATGCGACATTTTTTTCAAATTAGTGTTGCACCTACTGTTTTAAATTAAGCTGTTCTATACTTACTCCCCTTTATTTCCTCTTTGAAGCCCGCGGTGGGCAAAAGAGGTTAAAGCACTGAATTTGCTCTACATTTTGCCAGAAAATTTGAAGAATTCAGGGTCGGATATACCATCGGAGTTGTTCACTTATCCAAAATAGTATCTGCTAGGTTAGCGCCTACTTTAACGAAATAAGCTCGTTTCGTGACCTTATCGGATAGCTCGTTACAGCGCCCTCGACATGTTTCGCGAGTATTTGGAGAAGGGGAAAGTATGGGTTGATAAAATGTGAGTATATCCTTCTTTTAATACTTTGCTTCAGAACTTCTGCCGTTATGAACTACACGGAACTCGAGAATAAAGTTCGTGAGGCAACAAACGATGAACCTTGGGGACCACATGGAAAGATTTTGAATGACCTTGCACGAGAAACGCACGACACCGAAGGGCTTCTGGAAATTATGACTATGCTATTGAGCCGAATTTTTCCCGAAAATTCTACCAATTGGCGCCGTATATACAAGGTACTCTTATTTTCTTTACTCAATTAATTTCAGGCTATTTTTACATCAAATAAAATGTTCACCTGATCTGTGATAATTTGTGCAATATATTTGGGGTTATTTTGTCCCAAGTAGTAGGATATTTCTTCATTCTTTCATAATATAGTTGCTCTGGTTTATTTTTGGTCACTCGCATCATGGTATTGGTGAAATTGATGTATAGTGCTTTTTAATAAACTTTAGGGGCTAGTGGTTCTTGCACATCTATTGAGAAGTGGATCTGAGCGCGTTTGTGATATCGCCCTTGACAACATCTACAACCTCCGTTCTCTGGAGAACTACCAATGCGTTGATGAGCGAGGTCGTGATCAAGGTTCCTCTGGTATGACTTCCACAAACTTAGTAACACTTCCGCCTAGTACGAATCAAAGCTCACGAAGTTGTGGAACTCCTCCAAGATGCGGAATTTCTTCAAGCCGAGCGGCAGAAAGCCCTTACCGCCCGGAAGGACTATGCGGGTATTGGAAATAGCCATGTCATGGGATCTAATTTCTCTGGCGACTATGGAATGTAAGTTGCCTTAACTTACATTATGTTCTGTATTTCTGTTTACTTTTCTACAAATCACACAAGTATTGTCTTTTTCCTGCCTCCTTTCCCTCCATTCTCTCCTACTCTTCATCCTCTAACCACGTGCTGCTTAACTTTTATATTTACGTTGCGTAAATGCGTGGTCTGCTATCGTGACGCACTCTAACCCTCTACTGAAAGGTTTGATGATGGCAACAGTGCTGGTGATTGGAATTATAGTGACTCCCATCGCTATCCTTCTCTCAGTGCGCCACAGGCTGAGATGCCGTGGCGCGAGAGAAAGGGAAGCAATGAGAGGCGCACCAGGTTCTCTTCCAGCCGCCTGGGCAGTTTTGATTCCTGGAAGTTGGCTCATGAACGCACCATCGTTGATGATGTCGCTGACAAATTCTCCGATATGCTAAGAGCTGCTAAAGTCGTCACGAATGATCTGCTTGGCAAGCCGAGAGTTCCACCACCTTCAGTGTAAGCGCTTCCAGTGTTGTCTGGTTTCAACCTATCATCAGCCTTTGGTAGAATCTCGCTTTACCGGCGGTATTGGTGACGGTAGTTTTTTTTTACAATAGTCGTTGGTTTCTGCATCTCACTTTACCTGCCTGTGTTTAGTGAGTCAGATCACGAAAGATCCTTTCGTGCAGTCCCGAATCTGTTCAAATTCAAATCATGATAGGTGGAATCAGGCGATTCGTTTTTTGAGTGCCTGAGTCTTGTATATACAGCCTAAAACGCGTTAAAAGTGACCCGTGGTGACAGAGTACTCTGCGTGTTTACTTGCACACTGTAGCATCACTTAATCGCCGTAGCTTGATAAGCATTGGTGCGTATAGGTGCATAACGAGGAGGATGCAGCACGTATGCATGCACATTGATTTGGTTTTTCCACACTACCTGATGCAAATGAGCGGTTGAGGTGTGTTTTCGCTTCCCAATTAAGTAAACGCTCCTGTCTTCTGCAAATTTAGTTCTTACTGCACTACTAACTTCTTTTCACCTCGTTTGTGCATACTGCACAGACTACTGTGGCAAAACCAAGCATTTCGATATCACTGGTGTGTCTAAACTTGTTCAAACGATCGCACTAGGCTTCTTTGCTCTTACGTTGCAGTAAGGAGGTATAGAAGCCTTTGAGATTTCAGTGTAGAGCTATTTTATCCAGTTTATTGACGTGAAAGTGCTTGTTTAAGTAAGCTAGTGTTTGCATTATGGATAGATAACCACTGCTTCAATTCCTCAGTATTTTGGTCACTCTATTTGCGACGAATTGTGTACACATTGCCGCTCTCATGGTGCAGTCGTTGAATCTTAGGGAACAATAGTATCGGGCGTTACTTAGGCACCGGTCTTGTGCTTTATGTCCTCTATTTTTGTGTTTCTAGTCCACTATTACCAGTTTCTTTTTGCACGTGGCTCTCTCTTCCATGCCCCAAACAAGCTTTTGACACATTTGAAATATCCCCTGGTGTGGTATTATGGTTCCTTTCGCCCACTCTTAGTTTTTCCGATGAATCTGCCTTGTTGCCTCGCTCTCCCCATTCCTCCACTCGAATGTGAGTTTCTTTTTTGGCACATCGCTTTCGACTCCCACAGCGGTAATGTCACACACACATGCACACACTGTGTCGTTTTACTGAAATAAAAACAACCGGCTATCGCTTGCCTTTGTGTGCATACCTATTTCTCAACTTGGCACTACACCAACACACTGACTCAATACCAAAAATGTGATTTAATTCACCGTTTTTAGCTGCTGATAAATGTGGTAGTACTGATTTTGCCACGTACAACCGCTTGTCCACTAGAAGGGGTGGTTGGGCGTCTCCACAGCTATTGACCTTCAGTATTTGGTCAGTGCTCTTAGGTTTGGAGCCACCATTCCGTTTACCATCTTTGTGTGTGTATGTTTATGTGTGGCCTTGCGTGATACAACTTCGTCGGTGAGGTCACACTGTTGCCCGTTTCAACTCGTGGCATCTTCACATTGAACACAGGCATAGTCCTTGTGCACTTTGAACTTTGTGTGTTTACCGTGTATTTGTGTCTGCGTGTGTTTTCTTATTTTTGAGTGCTTACCTACCCGAACACTGCGTTGTGTATGTACTGTATGGTGTGCCATACACGGGTATTGCCACCTAAAAATGGACCGCATTTCCCTCCGCTTTGGTGGAGTATGCTCGTGGCGTGTTTTAATTTAACTCGTGAGATTACACAAAGCGGAATGTCGGGTGTTTGAACGGTGAGTCGGATTTTGTCGAACATTCAATTGTCGTGCACTAGGTGTCCGGTGGTTGGTTCTGAAGCCCTATTTTCATTCTTAATGGATCTCAGAGATTTGCCGACGTTACTCGACCTTTATTTGATTCGGAGTGGAACAACCATCCTCCACACAGCTGGTTTGTAAATACAAAGGGTCCCACGACATCTGAGGTGGATGTGATGTCGAAATCACCGTGGTTTGAGAATAACGTGACATAAACAGCAACATGCCCTCGTCAACGTCTGCGTTTGATTTGAAGTTTGCATGTTGGTTGTGACAAGGGCACGATGCCAAGTTCGAATTGAACCGGCCTTGAGTACTTTAAAACCGTTTTTTGGCTTATTTTATGTGTCTAGCAAATGGATTTATGGAAAATCTAAAATATATCTGGCAATTTATATCCTTTACCAACAACCAATGCATCTTTCACATTTCTATTGCTCCGCCCCTTACTTTCTTTACCGTAAGGCTTACACTCAAACCCCTGAAATTGCTTTCCTCAAGTGCATATTAGTTACTTTTGAATATATTGGACTCTCCCCACTCATCAACTAACATTTTAATACGAGTTATCGCTATCGTTCCCTATTTCACGCATTCTGTGTTTGCGTATGGTTGCTAGGTGACCACTAATGTCTGAGGCGCACCTACATTATGCCTGATTACGAGGGCAACTGTAATGGTAGAACTCGACGTTCCGTCGAGTGCGTTTTTAAGACACGTGAAAATTTGGAGAATCTCACCAACTCCCGTTTGCCATTCCTGTTGTGCGGATTAGTGCATACTTTCTCGACCTCAAACAAGGACTGGTGGGTGTGAACAGGGTTTTGCGACTCTGGCACAGTAGGTGTTCGCAGCAGTTTTGTAAGATTCAATTCGTGCTTCCTGCTTTGTGAATCGAAACACCTTGATTGATTGTCACTTGCTTGGGGAAGGCGTTGTTGCTTCCTTGCACTAGAAACCTCTCTTTCACTCACCTCGTAGGTACGAGGAGGACCCGCATAAGGTATCAGAGGAGGTCTTCAGCTTTCCTGGTGCCACAGTTGATCAACCGGAAGAGGAGGAGTACAACTCTTATCGGCGGACCTCTGATACCTCCAAACTCTCACCAACCACCCAAACCAGTCAAAAATCGCTGCCAACAGCGACTCCTGCTGCCCTGATAGACTTTGATTTGCCTCCGACTGGTTCCAATGTTACGGTTCGTCATTTTATTCCATTAAAGCGGATCTCTAGAAGGAATTTTCAATCTAACCATGTAAGGTAATCCAAATCTTTCTTTGGGACTTATATCTGCATGTTCATTGATAGCTGAGAAATTGTTAGAACAAGGGTTCTTCTAGGTGGTCATTTTGTTCTCCTGTATGTAGATGTAAGCGCTCTTCACAAATGGAATATTAATTGTCATCCATTGAAGTAAAAAATGTGGTCATAGTGGCGAACAACTGCCAGAGCAAAGAGTGTTTTTACCATGCAAAAGTAGGACTTGAACGTGATAGATGAAGATCAAATCAAGATGCAACAATGGGAAGCATCGCTATCACATGAGGTAATAAGCACCCTCATTAAACTGACCCATTACCTGCCCTCCGAGGGTCCGCATAATCTTGCCATGTTGGTCCGTAAAGGACCCTTGTGAAAGTTGGACCTAGTTACTCTGGGCAAATCGTTCTTTATGATTGAAGCTCTCTTTTTTTTCTTGTAGCCTCCGACGAGACTTCCTAGACCTCCCTCGACGGAAATGCTGGCGTCGCCACCAAGGAATAGACAGAACGATGATAACAGCGACTTTTTCGCTGAGTTAGACAAGCATCAAGCTAAACTGCCACAGAATGCTGCGACTACTGCTATGGAGTGAGTTCACCGGTTTGTCGATTTGATGCATTTCTTCACTCCACTCAAAGCATGACACCTTGTTGAAATTAATATCAAGTATTGATAGCAAGTAAGACCTCCGTAATAACAGTAGATCATCCAGTAGATAGTTAGATCTCTGTAGGCTGCAACAAAATCGTGCAATGTCTTGACCTTCACCAGACTTTTGCCAAGTCTGCGTACTTGTTTTTATCACCTGCTTATTCATCTTTATCAAAAGTGTGGATTGATGGGGCCATCGCGGTGGCGATTGCAGCAGTAAATGTTCATGACTGTACATACACGTGTGATGATCCTGCCAAAAATACTAATTACCTTGGCGCTGAGTTAACACAAAGCAGCATCGTTTCTTCGTAGAATAAATTACTGGCTCCAAAGCTAGGATTGTTATTCGAGACTGTTGTCTTTGTGCCCAAAATCGTGGCGCCGTATTCAATCGAATGCTAGTTCCAAAACAGTTTTTCCCTAGATGTCTGCTGTGGTTTACTAATACAAAACTTGAAAAATTTCCTAGACAAACAGAGCGACGCACTGCAGTGATAGTTATGAATCGAAATGGACACGCTTTTGTTCGAATAAATTGCCATCTCCACATAACAGTGGTGATCACTTTCCATTGCATCCATGAATTCCTCAGCTCATTCGAGATGCAGGATGGGTATGACCAGCTTGAAAGTTTTAACAAGCAATCATGGGTGAAAAGACAGCAAGAATTAAATTGGCTCATTGTTAATGCGGCGATTTGTTACTGAGGTTGCTATGATTAAGAAGTATACTCCCCCGTGTGAATGATGCCATCGATGGGAAGCTAGCTCGGTTAGTTAAATCGGAAGCTGAACTAAATGACACCTATCTTAGCCTGTTCGCGAACTTCACTGCTGTGAATCCGCCCGTGGCCGCGCAGACAACCCCGACAGCTGGTGCCCCGGTGGACGCGGATTTTGGTGATTTTTCAAGTTTCCAAGCTGCCCCTGTCTCCGAGACACCGGCCAAAACTGTCACCATCACCACCACCAGCTCCCAGTCGACCAAACAATCTGTGGACCCCCTATTCGACGAATTCACGTCACCTCCTCCCCCTTCTACCTTCGCACATACTGCCATGACAACAGCGCTTACTCCCTCAACAGTCCCAGTAAGCCAAAACATTTGATAAGTGCATCCACTTGCTCCATAGTCCCACCATCGTCCGCTTCATCACATGCGTGCAGATTATTTTGTGGCAAGATTTTAGTTTTACCTGTTACGTAGCTCGTGGGAGTATTATTGCAAAAGGGATTGTGAGACCTTCGGCACAACTAGGTGCCACGACGCTTAGGATAGTGTCTGTCTGAAGAACTCTCATAGTTAGAATGCAATCAAGAGTATGCCTGTTACTTATCCTTCTAGTTTTAAAACTCCTCGGCAATCTCTGTAGTCACTCTTCCACGTAGATCATTGCAAAGTAGTCGGTACCTTAGAACTTATCCACGAGCTCAGAACTGAAGATGCTCATCAATTTACCATCAATATGAGAAGACATGTGATTCCAATGGCATTGAGGCCTGTCGTTGGATTCTGTTAACCCGGTTGAGTTGGGTCTCTGCGATCCGTTGACTTTGTACTCCTCAAAGTGGGATACCGTTTGACATTTCATGTGCTGATAGCTGTCAGTAGCAGCGTTTACGTTCTCTGTTCATTCCTCGTTGCCGGTTCGCCTCAAATTTAGTTTTTTTTCCAGCTACCTAGCTGAGTTATTCTCGGCCTTTTGTGGTGTAAAGAAGGCTAATTTCTTCGACACAAGGGCACCTTCCTGCAAGTGTCCTGAGCGGCTCCATGACGGACGTTTGAATCCGTATAGCTTCAGGCATTATTTCCCGCATTGTCAAGCATGGTACTGGGGTGGTTGCGAAAATGGCTTCAATAGCCCTTCTGGTATGAGATCTCAAGATTCCACCATCTATAACATCCGATGTATGGATTTGGTTTACAGTCATAGAATTTCAGGATCTCCACCTTTTTTACCACTGCTATCAATGTAGCCTTCTCAGTCATCCCTGAGGATTTGTTGTCGCTCTGTAGAAGGACCGGAAGTCTGTGGGGTTGGAAAAAAGTGCCACAGTGTTAAGACGATAGCTGAAATCATATGAACTGAAGATCCTGCGTTGTTTAATCGCAGTGGAAAAATGTCTTCCTCTTGTAGAGTGTGGAGCTCGTTGTCGATATGTGCTGGAATTCCATAGTCGTTAGGATTCCAAAAGTGATAGACCAAAGCCTACACACTAAGTTGCTAAGCTAGGCAGATTGCAAACCGTGCCTTACTATCCGTTGCATTCGTGAACTCCTGCTTTTGCTATTGGTTCGACGACTGGTCTGTCACGCAACGACTGGCACTTGTTTTGGAAGTGGTGAACCCACTTTCGCAGGCATCTAGTACGCTGACAAGATACTGGCGTTTGTCAAGGCACCTGTCATAACACTCCCGCCTATCAACGCCCTTTTATTTGAGTCAATCTCGATGTCTCGTGCAGACACTCTTCAGTAGATTCTCTACCAAGGCAAAATCGAAATTTGCTGTTTAAAGATGGAAAAAACGCCACTGTGCCGCCATTACCAAGCACAACTACCATTCACTTTGCACGTTACAAATTCAACCGACTTGAAGCAACCAAATCGCCGAATCGGTGCAACCAGTTATCACACACTGATAACAAGCACGTGTCAGCTAGTCGCGAGGTCACACACACACACAATTGTCTTTAGTGTCTACTCAGCAGGCTTCACCTTCATTGCACAACCCCAGTGCGCCCCGTTTTTCGCCACAAGGGTGTTTCAAATCCTCTTATTGGTTCCAATAGCCTCTACAAGGCATAAATGCTTCTCTTTATCAGTCAAAGTTCAAATGACGCCGTCTTACTTTAGGCATGTATGCAGGGGAGTGGGTGCCTGCGCGTATCAAGGCAGTCAAATCCGTCTACTCGCGGGCTTGCAGTAAATGCAGGCGCTATTGTGCTGTGCCAATGTAGTACTGTCAATTAAAGATACGTGTACATACACACACACACACGCATTGACGCTGGGGTTTATTTGCCTGCGTGCGTGAGTGTGTGTGCGTGTGCGGGTATCGCCTACCTTCGATCGATCTCTCCCCCACATCGGTGGCTGTCGTGCACTTTTCTCGCCCCACCCCCCTTCCACCCTCCACGCGCAGGCGTGGGTTGGTGTCGGTGGTGGCCCAGATCTGCGATGCCTGGAACGTGTCACTCAGCCTTCTTCCTCTCCTCTTTTTCCCTTATCTCCACTTCATCAACAGTCATCATCAATTCGCGCTGAGCCATTCGCACACACTGTAGCGGAGACATCACTACATGGACCTCGTTCTATCGAAAAAATTGTGGTTCTTCCTGACTAGGCCGCATGACAATTTAACCTTTACATCACCAAAACCTCAAAGTTAACCTGAGTAACGGTCTTAATGCAAATATGGGTTCTCCTTTCACTGTTATCTAATCAGGGCATTTATAAGTGCTTCTTGCCAAATTTTAAGCACCACATTAGTGATTCCTGCTTACGGTTGTTAGACTTGCATATCGGCTTGAATTTTGACCTTTCTCGTTGCAGTTACAACCCCAAAAGCCGTCATCTACTGTTGTGAATTCCACCCCTGAGCATCAGATAAGCGGCAGAGTACCGAGCGCCCCTTCCAACGTCGGCAAAACGTGGAGCGGTTTGGGCGCCTTCAATCTCGACATCGACTTTAAGATTGCCGCGGCGAGCCCCACAAAACCCGCGGCTCCAAGCCTCAGTCAGTTGCAGAGCCTCAAACAGAATAAATTAGTAACGCAGCCAGTGCTGCCTCAAACAAATTCGTGTGGTGAGAAGGCATTTCTTGAAGCCTTAACTTTATTTCGCATATGGCTGAGTAGGAAGCTGGAATAGCCGCGGCACTGGGTTGAATGTGTAATTTTGAATTAGGAGATTCAAGAAAGCTTAAACCACCGTTCTGCATCGCGATGGAATTTACTGAGTGGATTTAAGAGTCCCGTGAATGCTTATGTGTCTTTGTTTCATGATGAGGTGAAAAGTTCCATTCACTTACACCCTTTCTTGTTTGAAATTTTAGGCGCCGCGTTTGACGCAACATCACCGGGCAGCTCAAAGATGGATGACTTTTCAAATTTCGCGGTTTTCAAATAACGCTGTCGCCAAAGGGAACTCATCCATTGAGTTTATTATCAAGAATGTCTTTCATCTGATCTGATATCTTAAAAGTTTACGCCTCTCTGGTTAATCCCCCACATCATATTACGTAATGGGCGGCGAAAAGGCAACCAAAATCGCATAATTCAAAAAATAAATATTCTAAGAGCAGCATATTTACTTAAGGGGTTATTCCCCTTAAAAAAGGAACGCTGAAAAAGCATAAATAGAAGTAAACAGATGGGAAAGTGGAGATTTGGGGGGACAATAGGAGGTGTGGTGGCCAAGAGTCCGACCTGAGTCTTCAGGCTCGAGACCTGCTGTAGGGCTGGCAGTGGTCGTGAGGGGCCGTAATAGGCAAGAGGATGCGTGGCGAGGTGACGTGGGATATCGTTGTAATTGGCCGAGAGGCCGGTAAAAACGCTGATGAAAATAGAGGGTGAGGCAGGGCACGTGGGCTAGAGACCAAAAAGGCGACACCGCGTCTCCTCACAGTCCAGCACAACACCGAACAGAAGAGCCTCTCAAGGGTGCCCAGGAGGTTGCAGTTATAAAGAGAGAGAGAGTGAACAACGGGAAGTGGGGAGGTGGGAAGGATGGCAGAAGTGCAATAATTGTGGGAGGGTTTTCAACCAAGTGCTGGTTTAAGTGTGGTGATGCGATTCCAGTTGATTGGACCGCAGAAGCAGAGTCGAGCTTTACTGGGCTGGACCAACAGTTGCCTACTGATAAGATAAAAGTAGCGTGTGCGCAAGTGTATGCGATTGATTGGTGGCCCTTAACACAGAGGTAAGGTGGAGGAAGGCTAGGCGGAATGCGTAAAGGAGTTATAAGCAGAGTGTAGTGCAGTGGAAGAGAATAGAGGCGGTTGAAAAATCGGGCCGAAGGGGAGGCTGCTGAGTGGTGGAGAGCAAGTGAGGACTACTTAAAGCCGTGTGTTGTGCGGAGGAGCATGGTGGCCATTTTAGCGTTATGCGGTGAGGTCATCCGTTCCATTATCACTTCGGAGGGTCTCTAAATAAGGGCCAATGAAACCGCCTACAGCTTTTCAACCGGGACGGTTATTGTGAGATTGCTCAATCCCGCTCATGTTTCAGCTTCGTATTGCATTATCTCGAGGATCGGCTCACCTATGCCATTCGAGGTAGACGTAGTCAATTGAGGAGGAGTGCCCACTGCTCTCCTTAGACAGTGTGGTTGAGGATGTAGGCAAGGTAATACGGACCTCGCAAAACTTTTTCAAGCCACATCACTTCATCTCGTCTCACAGTCCAACACAGCACAGCAACGAGAAGAGTCTAGCAGAGTAGAGGGAAACAAAGCAAAACGGAATAGAGAGAAACATTGTACACGAAGACACATCATCTCCCTTCAGGCCACTGATGCTCTGCCCTTCTCTGTTTTGGTTGTGTACCCTATCTGTTTAACGCACTGCAGACGGGTTAAAACAGCGACCACTCCTGGCCATGGAATTGACTAAGTGCCATGGCGTCTAGGAGTGTCAACTGTCCCATAGTGGGGTTTGTCGGTTGGAATCAGAAGTAGTTCTGTCACACATCCTCCCACCTCTTTATACTTATCAGCAATCTCTCTGACCACCCTTCCACGACAATCGCCACAAAGTAGTCGGTACCTCAATAGCCATCCAAGAGCCCTGGACACAAGTTACACATCAATTCTCCGTCACCCTGAGAAGACATGCGATACCAATGGCATTAGTGCCTGCCGTTGGATTCAGTTCAATGTGTTTAAGTTATATCTCTCCTATCCGGTGACTTTATACTCCCGAGTAACCCCTGAGACTAGAAGCCTATATGTGCTGAACGATTGGAGTCAGTGGAATTTGAAGTACGACAGACTGAAGCCCTCACACAATGCCAAGTTAGTTAGATTGCAAATTGTGCCCTAATGCCCTCGCATAGTGAACTCGTTTGGGCAAACAGTCCGAGTAGTCGAGATGGCGTACAGGCAGTGGAGGCTGCTGAAGGCGTGTGCGTCTGCACGCGATCAGTGGAACTGTTCAACCGCTTGCCGAGTGATAGGCACATCTGCACTTGCAACATTCATCCAATTATGGACACTTTGTCTGGTATTTCATCCAAAAAGGAAGAGGCAACGTATAATTAGGCTAATTTTTGAAAAAAAGTATGGAGATGAGAGCATTCTCTGATCTGACAATAGAATTTGGTTTTCCTGATGGGATTGAATTGCCTAAGAGTGGGCACATCTACAAAATAACATTCGCTTACAAATCGAAGGTAGGACTCAGTGGCACCCTTTGGTAAATAGGCATGATAGACCTGGTGTCGGTGCCCAATCGTACAAGGGGAAACAACATCGTTAGCGGATTATGCCTATCCATTGGCTCCACTTGACCCTGAAACCTATACCTTGGAAGTAGTTCGTGCAACATCGTGTCTTTTTTCCAACGGCATCCCATTGCAACTTGCCATTAGAGCCGCAAGTAAATGACACAAATTGCTCTTTGTAGTCTAAGATAACCGTGATGGCGGAATGAATGTGTTCGTGACGATGAAATCTCAAAACCGCATCTAGTGGGATTTCGAGGCTGCCACAGATGGTGATTTCAAGATTGCTTTGACAATATTTGCTGGGTCGCTGTACAGGTCTCTCACTTTTAGTGTTGAGATGGTTGGGAAATACGCATAAACGTTATCCTAGCTCCTTTGTTAGTCATGGAGTCATACCATTAAGGCGGTAACTTAGGCTCACTATCTTAGATGCGTGACGCGGACAAATTATGAATCTGGGCAACAATACAGCCCGAATGGGAAGCAGTGCTTATCGCAGTCATCTTGGTACTTAAAGAAAACAGCAATTGCACAACTCAATCTCACACTCAGTGGCCGTAACTCAAAAACGGAGGCGAAGCAGGAATCGCCAGGTAGTGGTTTGATTTGCCCTGCAGGTGTCAGATCACCTACGGTAGTAAGAGGGTGCAGGGCTCAGTTACCCCCTGAAAGTAGGTATTATTGGCTGTTAGAGATCCCCACGAATAACAGTAGCCAAAGTTTCTGCCTAGAGACTGGCGAACTACAAAAACGTTTTCAGTATAATTGCAGCATTTTCACTCATCTTGAATTCCAAGTAAATAGTCAATGTGGCTGAACCACCTCATGTCTTGACGTTC